TGATGAGTGGTGCATGATGAGTGGTGCATGATGAGTGGTGCATGATGTAGTGGTGTATGATGATTGGTGTATGATGAGTGGTGTATGATGAGTGGTGTATGATGAGTGGTGTCTGATGAGTGGAGTATGGATGAGTGGTGTATGATGAGTGGTGTATGATTGGTGTATATATATTGATGAGTGGTGTGTGATGAGTGGTGTATTGATGAGTGGTGTTCGATGAGTGGTGTGTGAACAGTTCTTGAATGTCCGTAACACGGAAGTTTCGTACACTAAACTTCCTTTGATATTATGGGCGCCAACGTCAATTAATAGGGGTGGCCTACAACCCAATAGCGATGGCCTCCACCCTGATGGCGAAGGCCTCCACCCTGGTGGCGATGGCCTCCACCCTCGTAGCGATAGTAGCGATGGCCTCCAACCTCTGCTGGCGATGGTCACCAACCTAGGAGCGATGGCCTCCAACCAAGTAGCGACGCTGGCCTCCAACCTAGTAGCGGTATGGCGATATGTAGCGATGCCCTCCGCCCTAGCAGCGATGGCCTCCAGCCTAGTAGCGAGGGCTGCGCCCTATGGCTCCACCCCAGTAGCGACCACCCTAGTAGCGATGGCCTCCAGCCTAGTAGCGATGGTCTCCCTAGTAGCGATGGCCTCCAACCTAGTAGTGATGGCCTGCTCCCTAGTAGCCATGGCATCCAACCTAGCAATGATGGCCTCCAACCTAGCAATGATGGCCTTCACCCAAGTAGAGATGGCCTCCACCCTAGTAGCGCTGGCCTCAAACCTAGATCGGGGGCAGTGCCAATTGAATCCACCTCAAGAATCTATTTCGGTTCACCCTAACCAGGAGTGATCTTTCGACTCAAATACGCCATCCAAATTGGTTCATCGCTGGCAGTCTCCCCAGGCCAAAGGTTTCGTTTTGCTCAAGTGAAGATTTGTTGGATGACCCTTTCCTGCAAGGTTCCAGGTTCCCACAAGGTTCCCAAGGTTCCTGCAAGGCTCCCGCAAGGTTCCCGCAAGGTTCCCAAGGTTCCCACAAGGTTCCCACAAGGTGCCTAGGTTCCCGCCAGGTTCCCACAAAGTTCCTGCAAGGTTCCGAAGGTTCCCACAAGGTTCCTAGAAGGTTCGTAGGTTCCACAAGGTTCCCACAAGGTTCCCAAGTTTCCTGCAAGGTTCCCGCCAGGTTCCCACAAGGTTCCTAGGTTCCCGCCAGGTTCCCGCAAGGTAAGGTTCCTGCAAGGTTCCCGCAAGGTTCCCAAGGTTCCCACAACGTTCCCACAAGGTGCCTAGGTTCCCGCCAGGTTCCCACAAGGTTCCTGCAAGGTTCCCGCCAGGTTCCCACAAGGTTCCCAAGGTTCCTGCAAGGTTCCCGCAAGGTTCCCAAGGTTCCCACAAGGTTCCTGCAAGGTTCCCGCAAGGTTCCAAAGGTTCCCACAAGGTTCCCACAAGGTTTGTAGGTTCCCGCCAGGCACCGATCTCGTTCAAAACAGAGACAGTCCCTCTCCCGGTCACCACCTAAAACCACTTGGTGTCTGTCTGCCTGGATGTATGTATATGTGTGTGTGTGTCTGTGTGTGTCTGTCTGCCTGTATGTATGTAGACGTCCACCATCGCCGACTGTGGGAGTTGGCCCACCAGCTTCGCGTGCGCTTCCGGGAACTGCTTCAAGGCATCCAGCGGGATGGTGATCCGCTCGTCGCAGATGGCCCTGAAGCGCATCGCCTCTTTGCTGTCATGCACCGGGGCCACCCATCTCTCTGAGCACCCGGCGCCATTCCTCCTTGTCCGTCGGCTTGTCTAAGCCCAGGGCAGCCAGGAAAGAACTGGCCTCCTTGCGGGCCTCGGTGCGCTTCAAGTTCCGGGTCTTGGTGGCTGAGCCCGGAGCATCTTTGCCACGTTGTTTGGATTCGATGGCCAGGGGGAGACTGCACCACAAGCTGTAGATGTACTTGAAGGTGTACCGTGTCGAGTAAATGTGGATGAGGGATTTCAAGTCCCATGTGCGGCTCTCTCTCACTTCTCGTCCTTGGCGGTGTCATGAGCCCACCAAATGGAGAGGATGGATTCCAGTGGGGCGTCGCGCCTCTGTTCTTCCACCTCCTGGTCAGTGTAGTGGAAGGGCTCCACCATGTCCGAGCCGAAGGAGCATGGGTGGGTCCGTCTCTCCAGTGCCCGGTACTTGTCCATCTCCTTGGCTGATGGTGCACCAGCTTTGGGCTGTGCCCAGTCCGGGAGGGGCGGACTGAACTCCTCCTCATCCATTTCATTGAGGGTTGCCATGCCCGGGCCGGTCACCGCTGGCCCAAGGGCGCCAGGAGTTGACGCAGCCCCAGGTTCCGCGGTGGCCACCGTGTGCTTGAGATCGGGCCTTTCCTCCAAGAGTTTGGGATGACCTGCCCATGGATTCTTGCCGTCTTGTAGTGCCCTCATAGCCGGAAGGTAGTGGCGCAACATATCGGAGGGGTCCGGGACCTCGTGCCAATCCAGGGGAGCCGTAGGACAGAATAGGCACCGCTTCAACTTGTGTTTGAGTTCAGTCGGCCGCGCCGAAATCTCCACGGGGTTGAGGGCAAACTGTTCCATGAATGCCGTGCCCTGGTCCTGGATCTGCTTGTTTGCTGCTTTGGCCTCCTCCATGGAGGTGATTGCCGCCTGAAGGGCATCCTCTGTGCGGCCAGAAGTCTCCTCCAGCATCCGTTTCTTCAAGGCTGCTTTGAAGTCCAGGAGGTTGACCTTCCGCAGGAGGTCAGCGCCGCTCGGCCTCCTCCGCTTGGGCGTGCTCCGCCTTGAGGTCAGCGGCTGAGAGCCCTTGGAGGGCCTCGGACTGAATGCGAAGGGCCTTGGCCGCCTCTGGATGGAAGATCTGGAAGGACTGAGCCGGCTGCTCCTCAAGCCGTTTGCGATGGGCCGCCGATGTCGCCGTGGCGTACTGGCACCCATCAATGGAGTGTGACAGCTTGAAGTGCCGCTCCGCTTCTGGGTCCATTCCTGTCGCCTCAGGGCCAAGGGCACCTGGGGAAGACTGGCCTGCCCGCCTCGTAGAGCAAAGTCCAGGTCTGATCGCCGACCTCCATAATGGACGTAGGCAGCTGGTACTCGATGGCTTGGTCGTGTTTACAAATCCAGCATCTAGTTGCATTCTCCGGCCAAGGTGACACACATTTGCCGCACATGGAGTGGAAGGGAACCTCACCAGCAGGTCGGTGGAGGCCTCGGTGCTCAGTCAGTGTCTGAGGCCTTCTGATACTTCTGTGTCCAAACCCTCTCCTGCATAGCCAGGGCCCGCAGGGATGTACTGCTCGATGATGCGAGTGACCACCGGCGTTGTCAGAGGGTAGCCAGTGAACTGGTCAAAGAGCTGGACCATCTCCTTCTCGGTGCACAAGACGAGAAGCCCCGCCAAGTGCCCCGGAATGGCCGGAAAAGTGTCCGGGAACATGTCAAATCGGACGTGATTTGCAGGATCCGACACTGGTGTGAACCGGATAGGCATGGGGATCGAAGGCCGACCCCGTGGCCCGCGTGAAGCCCGGCAGTGTAGGTGCCTTGGATGTAGGTTCCTCCATTGGCTGCGTGGAGGCTCAGGGACTTGGTTTCGCACTGGAGGTGTAGAAAGCGCCGGAGCATCCGCCATGGCGGCATGAGGGTCTACCGAATACCCTGCCTGTGCAGGGGGCTGAAAACCTAAACCCGCGCGCTCACTGGTTCCGTCCTCCTCCATGTGCTGGGGTGGTGCAACTGGTCGTGGCTCCGCCGAGACAGGCCAAGCCACTGGCGGTTCCGCTACTGTCGCCAAAGGATCAGGCTGGGCCGCCGCCGCAAGAGGTGTAGTAGAGCTCGAGGTCGTCGCCACCGCCGGAGTAGTTGCAGCCTCCCCCGCAGCTGGGCCGCCAGCGCCGCCATCAGCAGGGTCGTTCAGCCCCAGAGGTCCACACCCATGTCCGCGTCTTCTTGGTTTGCGATCTGGACCTTGAGGTCTTCCATGTGGCGCTCTAACTGGCGAATTTGCTCTTGAGCGTCGAGCTCAGAAACCAGGACAGGTTCCCCAAAGACAGCAAGTCCACGAGCTCCTTCCGCCTCCGCATGACGGAGGGCTGTAGACGCAGCATCAGCTGCCTGGTCCAGACTCTCGATGCCCAGGCTACTGACCGTAGCCGAATCCCAATCATCACCTGGTAGGGCCAGGGGAGGGGTGTCGATGATGGAGTACTGCGCCATTGCGTCGTGTTCGAAGAAAACCGATGTACTCGCGAGTTTCTCCAGAGTTCAGGTGCAATCCTGTGGATGATGTCTCGGTGGGACATTTTGTGAACTCCAGGGAACATAAAACTTGCACCCGCAAGCTACATGCAAGTGTGAATTTTCCACAGAGGCTTGAGTCCTGGTAGTTGCTGGATGTCAACTGTCAACCGCCTCAGCCAACTGCAGGGATTCTTGAACGGCCTCTTGAAGATTGCCCAAGGTTGCGTGTTGGTCTCCTGCAAAAGGGCGCGCGTCCAGGTAAACGCTCTCCATGGTGCGTTGGCGTAGCATCGGGCACTCGGATTTCCCACTCCCATGGTGAGATTCTGGAGGATGCACTCAGTTGTGGAAGCAAAGGTTGTGTGCATCTTGGCTTCGTGCTTTGTTGTAGTTGCACCAACTGAGATTGGTTTGCCACCTCCTTGGATGGCCACAACTTCAGGTCCAGGTGCTCCAGGCAGCTGCCCATGCACCGAGGGAGGCAAGGCAAAATCGTCAAAAGGTTCACTCTTGTGAAGATCTGGATTGACTGTGTCCTCAAACTGATCAAGAGCATTGTCCCCTGAACTCTTGGTTGAGGTGTCCCCAAAAGGTTTCTGTGCCTGAGCATGTTGAAACAGGTGTGAATGAGTCTGCTCCCCTGCGCACTGTGTCACCTATGTGTTCCCATACGCTGAGCTTGAGGCAGCGCGGCAATCTCCATTTGTTGGTGCCCAATCGAAATCATCAAGGGGTATTGGCACCTCGATCCCTTGAAACCACATGAGTGTGTCGTAAGTGGTGTTACCCACACTGCCCTCCCGGCGGCGGGGTTGGTGCATCTGTTTTCCTTCGCTTGTTGGGATCTTCCGCTTCAGCGCTTGGTCTCTTGAGGAGTCCATGTAGCTGGTTGCGCTGCTCTGCGGTTAGCTCGATGCCCAAACTTGTGACGTAGTTCAGGATCACCGAGGTCCAGTTCAGCCGGCGGCGGTGTCTTGTTGACCGCTTGCATGTATTGCTCAGAAAGAGTTTTGAGTTTCTTCTGGCCTTCAGCGAGCTTTGTTTGATGCTCTTGCATGTCTTGAAGCATGCTGGCATATTGGCTCTTGACCTGATCCAGTCGTGTCTGTAGTTGCGCCTTCTTCATGGATATCGTCTTGAGCTCAGTGACTTGTGTCTTTAGCTTCTGAGCCAGGGCCTTCTCTGTATCCGGAATGGGCTGCTGCATCTTGTTGACCACTTCCTGGACAGCCTGAGGAAGCTCTTTGAGGTGGGCCTGAAGAATTTCTTCCAGCCCTGGTTCCTCTTGTGGTGGCGGTCCAAAGCCAAGTGTTTGCAGCTTGGACTGGATGTCAGTTGGGATGACTTCCCACGTACTGGCAAGGAGCTCCACTGCTGTTGGATTGGGCACGCTCTTCTTGAGGGGCTTAAGTCGATGTAGCCCTGGAGGTTTGTCGAGCAGCTCTGAGGCTTGACTTGTTTGCCAATTGCCATTGCCAGAGGTCCGGGTAGGTCGTCCTTGGCCTTTCCCTTTTCCAATGCCTGTTCTGCTTGATGGCCACCACATGCCGCATTTACGGCACCTTGTATCTGGGCGCAGCTTGTCACTCCAGATCCAGTTTGTGCACTTTTGACACACAACATAGTTCCTGCACCAGGAGGATGCGCGGCTGGTCGTCATTGTGCCGGAGGTGGAGGTTTTCAGTGGCCTAGAAATAGCCCACCTTGAAGGCAAGGATCAGAGCCCGCTCTAAGATCTGGCCCCGGATCTTTTCAGAGTTGTAGCCCCAGTGCTGTCTCGGGGCGCGAGGAGATAGCCAGGCGAGCTCTGCCGGGTGCCAAAGATGAGTACAAGAGCGAGGTTGGAGATCTCGGAAATTGCGGGCAGAGAATGTGCTGTAATCGAGGAGGTCGATGATCGGTCCTGTGTCAAAGTCCTCGCTATGTGGCTTGGGGATTCTCCGCACTGGCTGGGCTTTGTGGGGTGCCAGCTTGAACTGAGACGGCTTGAGCCATGTATGTATGTATGTATGTATGTGTGTCTGTATGTATGTATATGTATGTATGTATATGTATGTATGTATGTATTTATGTATGTATGTATGTATGTATGTGTGTCTGTATATATGTGTGTTTGTATGTATGTATGTGTTTGTATGTATGTTATGTATGTTATGTCCGTATGTATGCAAGTTTGTTTGTATGTCATCTATGTATGTATGTATGTGTGTGTCTATGTATGTATGTATGTAAGTCTGTGTGTCTGTATGTATGTATGTATGTATGTATGTATGTAGGCAGGTATGTATGTATGCATGTCTGTATGTCATCTAAAAATACATACAAATACGCAAAACTATGTATTTATGTATTGGTTGCTGTCACTTCACCCTGCTCCACGGTGGTCTGATGGGTGGGGCACGTCGTTCCGAAACAGACCCGGCCATAGATACCCAAGCTCTTTATTGGGACAAACGGGGCAAAATGTCCGTGGGGTCCATAGCGCGTCGTGAGTGATCCTGAATCCGTCTGATCACTTCTTTAAATTGTACCCCGCTCGATCGTAGAAGCCACGAAAAGCCTAGGTGTATCGCGTGAGGAATTGGTGTGGGTCAAAGTTACACGCCGTTCTGAAACAGGAAGACTTAGAGAATTGCAAAGGGTGCGTGCAAGCGTTCACAAATGGGCCCCCCTTCCTGGATGGGGTTGGCAAAGATCAGCATACCCAGACTTCTGCAGTCCTTACAGCGGCTGTCTGCTTGTCGGCGAGGGCGTTTGGCCACACAAGGTGCTAGCTATCTGTAAAGCAACCCGTGTCGCGCCACTGTAGAAGCCACAGGCATGAAGGATCAGGTGGCTGGACTATGTAGTCACTTGGTTGGGCCTGTCCACCAACTAAGTCATATTTCACACAGCAGCAGCAGCAGCAGCAGCAAGGTCGTACCTACGGGTTACAAAAGGTGCCTTGATTGAAGAGCTGATGCGTTCTCTGGGGCCTCCACATGAGATGAGGCCACGAACACCAAAAACAAGTAACTGTCACCAGGTGTCTCCAAAACCCAATTTCCGTGAGGTACCGCAATCACTTTGAAAAGACATGAAAGGCTAGGGACATGTTCCACCAACAAAGAGCAGGACCTCTTTTCACCTGAGCTGTTACCTTTCTGGTCCGTCAACAAATGATTCCTCGACGTCCCATGCAAAGTGGCTAGACTTGACTGGAACATGAACTGTTCGGGGGCTAAGATGTGGCGGACTTCTCTAGATGGGTATGAACCAGTCACGCGACTAGACGGACCATTTTGGTAAATCTCACCAACCCTGGTAAGAGGTCTTATCAAATTGCAGGTGGTACTCCAAACGCTGGTGAAAGGCCTTACAAAGCTAGAATGGTCGAAGATCTGTATATAGTTGTAGGCCAGTCAATCAATGCAAACCCAAAACCCCGTCTAACAGTCCGCGGTCTATGTACCGCGCTATGCGAATCAGTGAATACGGCTCGCGCATTTCTCCGTTACCACCAAACCATTCCTTCACTGGCACCTTCTTTGGATGTGGTTTCTGGCCTTGAAGATGCTAAGATGCTCCTGGCATGGTGCGGGTATCCGGCAAGAACTTCGAGTGAAACACCCTGCCTTTCCAGCTTAGAACTCGATGAGATTGCCCCCAATGAGCCAGCCCTGAGGCATCTTGCGCTTGCGCTGAGACTACGGCTAAGGCGCGCGCCCAGTTCACAAACAATGCAGCGCGCGATTTGACTGTCCTGGTGTGACGGTTTGTTCAACCCCCTCTATCAGTACCGTCGAGAACGAGGAAGATTTGTGAGCAAGATGGGCGCCATGTAACAATTACTGTTATCTTCTCAAGGAAAAAAATCAAAGCCTAGCCAATAAGTATACAAGTAGTTCCCGGGCAAGCCGGCGGCGGAAGTTTGCTATAAGAAGAAATTGACCTATAGGAGTGTCCACGTTCTCTCCAACATGCGCGTCCTCCAGTCAAACGCACGCGCTCCGGACTTTTGACCCGCGGGATTCCACGTGTGTAAGGTGTGTGTGCCCCCTGCGAGAGATGACACACATCCGGCCACCACGACTTGCCAAGGATGCGGTCCACATCGACACACATCCCACCGTGGCATTCTTCAGTGGCGGCAAACCTTGCATATCACACATCGGACTGAATGGAACCCGAATTTGAATGTAAAATCTGTCTTGAACTCTGAGACTATGTATGATGAGTCTTGTATGATGAGGGGTGTATGACAAGTGATGAATGATGAGTGGTGTATGTTGAGTGGTGTATGATGAGTGGTGTATGACGAGTGGTGTATGATGAGTGGTGTATGCTGACTGGTGTATGATGAGTGGTGTCTTGACCAGCAGTTGAATGTCCTGTCCTGCATAACTGCAACCAAATACTATCAGTATGAACTGAACGTGCACGCCGCGAGAGATGACTCAGCAGAGAGAGATGACTCAGTCGCGAGAGATGACTCAGCCGCGAGAGATGGCTATAGCGAGAGCTGACTCAGCAGCGAGAGATGACTCCTCCGCGTACTACACTGTTCGCCAGTACAACTCTAGTTGTACTACGAAGTCGCCAGTTCTCAGCTTCCAGCTCTACAGATT